CATCACCAGAAGTACAAGAACCACATATCTTCTTCTCTTCTTTTGCTTCTCCTAGCTCAGGTAACAGTGAAAGATCAACTGGATACATTGATACACCATCCTTTGGTACACTGTGTTCACCACGACACTGAGGACAAGTGAGCCTGTTATTCTTGACAAGTGGCTCAAGACAATGAAGACAGAAGGTATGAAGACAAGGTAAGACACGTGGATCAGTATATAACTCAAGACAAACAGAACACTTAAGGGAGAGGGAGACATCAGTTGAACAAGTAGCCATTTTTCTGATAAAGTAACCTTGTGCATGTCATGTGCACAAACAATGCATGATATGCATCATCATTGTTATCTTATGAGAATTCTTAAAAAGACAATATAGACTTCAATGGCTTCATTTTCCTATTGTGACACTATAATTAGCTCAAAACATTTGACAAGAAAAATTTACAGCTAAATACATAGTTTTCAGTTTAAAGTAAACTCATTAATTAACGCAGACCACATTTGACGATTCAGACAGCCACAAAAAGTAATAATCAAAATTTCTGTTTTCTTACTCATTCGCAACAGCTAAAAAGTTATAAACAAATTTTATGACTTGGAAGGGAACTATCAGGCTGTTCCTATATAACATTTAAGATGTCTTAGCAACCAATTCTCTCAAGCACCTCACCTCACCTAAAATAAGTGTGCATACATGGCCTCGGCAAATAAAATGGTGGGTTACACGTGGGACAAAATTTTGAACTTTCTAATAGCAATAGAAAACATATACTGTCTAAAGACTTCTCTAGAAGCATTATAAGGTAGAGAGCTTAATAAGAACTGAGCTATGCAAACAGGGTGGTGAAAGTAATCTCAGCAATATTTTTATAGCAATAATTATACTTATAATGAACTACATACACATTAATGGTTACTCAGATTAAAATTAATTTGCTTTGTCAACAGTAAAAACTAATCTCTTCAAAATTTCAGACATGTATCATAATACTTACTCTTTTCCCTCCATGTCTTTAAGAGTAACAGATCTACCCCATGTCACCAATATAGCTAAAATAAACTAATTTAAAACACATTATGTAGTGTCAATAACCTTACCATCTCCTTCCCAAGTTTTGTGCTTCTTCTTAGTCAATTTACACCTGAAATAAAATAAAAAATAATAAAATTATTTACAGGACACAATCTTTCTTACATTGTACGTCTATGTCTACTTATCTTCAATAGGCTGTACCAGACCTGGGGTCAATTACAAAACCTCAATTGCAATTACACATTCAAGTACACTCTTTTTGTAAAAATAGGCTCAATTAGAAATACAATTATGCCATGTCAAAGTGATTTCAATTAAAAATTCTATTTTGATATGTTCTTGCATGAAACAGAAACATGGCTTGCTTTAAAATAATTACGGCGGTTCACACTAAGCATGCTAAGTGAGCTCAACAGCAACAGGGGCTTTTGTAAAAATTTTGAGCAAGTTAAAAAAATTTCTTTAAATCTAATTTTAATTGGAATCTGCTCAAACTTTTCTACACAACATAAGTACATGTATATGTATCAAAAAAATTATAAAAAGTGAGAATTTTCTTCTTAATTTCTGGCAAAATTTCACCAAAGTCCTTGTACTACAGTATAGGGACTTTTGTCAAATTTTGGAGCAAATTTAAAAATCCATAAAAACCAATCTTGATCAAAATCCACTCAAACTTTCTACACAACATAGGTAAATGTATGTGTATCAGAAAAAATTATAAATGTAAAGAATTTTCTCTTTGAAATTTTTGAAGAAATTTTGCCAAATAGACTGTACTAAAGTACAGGGACTTTGGCCCATTTTTAGCAACTTTATAAAAATTCGTAAAAATCCAATTTTGATTGGAATCTGCTCACACTTACTATACAACATACTGTAAGTAATGTAATGTATACATGTATGTATCAGGATAAACAATAAAAAGAAAGAATTCTCTCTTTGACATTTTTAGTGAAATTTGGCCAAAGTTCTTGTACTGTAGTACAGGGACTTTCGTCAAATCTTGGAGTAACTGTAACAATTTATAAAAAACTAACTTTGATAAAAATCCACTTAAACTTTCTACACAACATAAGAACATGCATATGCATCAGTAAAAATTATAAAAATTGAGAATTCTCTTCTTGAAATTTTCGAAAAATTTTAGCTTAGGTTCATGTACAGGGACTTTGGCCTGATTTTTAAGAACTTTAAAAATTCATAACAAATGCAATTTTGATCAGAATTAGTTCACAACTTAAGTACATGTATCAGAAAGTGAAATTCCAATTAAGTTCTGTTTCGGCTTACGTCTCAATTACAATCACTAAGCCTCTAATGACCCCAGCTCTAGGTCTATACTATAACATAACTTTATACTTACCACATAACTTTATAATAATGACTGGTCACATTATCAGTAGACGAAGACTGAGCTGTATTAACTAATGGAGTTGAAGCACTTGTTAATGGAGACACAAATGATGATGACACAGAGGGCACAGTAAACTTATGAATCATTTTACTGGTAGCCATAGAAGAGGAGGAGGAGGGGAGAGGGGAGAAAGAGGTAACAGAAGTAGCAGCAGAAGTGGTAGAGGAAGAAGTTTTTGTACTGAGAGCAATGTCATTGCTAGTTGGTTTAACAATGATACTATGTCTGTCTGTTGGTTGCTCTAATGAGGGGGTGTGGTCAGTTTGTTGACGTAATGAGAGAAGAGCACTCTGTAATACACTGCTATGTCCTTCTTTCACAACCCTTCCAGCCTCCTAATAGATACATAAATTGAAGTTTAAAAAAATACAAAACCTGCTGTATGATGCAAAATTTTGAAGGGCTGTAAATGTCCTAGATTTTGCAATTTTTAAAGATTTGCAAAAATTGATTCTGAAAAATAATTTATTTATAAAATGACAAACGGTATAACTTCGCAAACATTTAATCCAAAATTTTTTTTTTAATCTTGCTATACAGTGCCAATTCATTTATGCAGTCTTGCATAGCCATAAGCCCCTCCCTCTATTTTATCTAATTATTTTCAGGCTAAATTAGTTACCTTATCAGTGTCATCAGATGATATTTTGTTGCATTTGGTAGACCACGGAGTAGAGAAAGTCGCCCTTTTACTAGCAGAACCCAGAACAGATGGAGCAGCCGACCTCTTCATGATTCATTATTTTTTCCCGCGATTTCCATTGACATTAACTTTTAATAACTGTTTTGAGCTTGCGCAATAACTTAAGCTGCCAATTTGCACACGTGGATACACGTGGTCTGATTATTATTAAAAATAATTAATGTAAAATAATAAGAACA